TCCACCATGGGTGACCCTGCTGGTTATTTAAAACACTGGTGGCATAGCCCTCAGAATCACATCAACTCAAACCACCACAGCACGACAGACAGACGAGTGGTGGCCATTTGGTTTTATGTCTATACTGTCTCTTTAAACTTCGATGTCAGTCTTGATATAATCCTGATATAATCAAGATACATATAAGATATAATCAAGATACAATCAAGATGTTCTCTCCTAATCCTGTTAATCCTGGTAGGTGCAATAGGGGTAGACAATTTTCTATCGGGTAGAAAAAATCATACACACACACATGTGGTGTATCAGATAAGTTCATCTGACTATGCTCCCAAATAAGACAAAAAATTCTGACAGCAATAATGATCCTCCATAACATGTTTTCAGATTATTTTAAATATATAATCCCTCTAGAGGGCCTAGTAGTAAATAAATATTGCATGCCAGTATTCTGTTGTTGTTATCAAATCGTTTCTTACTCATAGCAACACTATAGGGCAGAGCAGAAGACTCCTATAGGTTTTCCAACGGGACCAATAATGCAACATCATGATGAAAGGTGAAAAGATTGAACTTCACAAGGATTTCATTTTACTGGGGTCCATAATCAATACTCCTGGAAGCAGCAGTTAAGATGTCAAAAGGTACATTACCTTGGGCAAATCTGCTGCAAAAGACCTCTTTAAAGTGTTAAAGAGCCAAGAGGTCATTTTAAGGACTAATGTGTGCTTAATCCAAGCCATGGTATTTCCCATTACCTAATATGTGTTCAAAAACTGGACAATGAATAAGGAAGACCAAAGAATTTATGCATTTGAATTATGGTGTTGGTGAAGAATATTGTGAGAAGTACAAACAAATCTGTCTTGAAAGACTACAGCTAGAATGCTTCTAAGAAATGAGAATAAAGAGATTTTGTGTCATGTACATTGAACATGTTAGCAGGAGGGTTCAGTTCATGGAAACGAACATCATGTTTGTACAGTACTGGGGAAGCAAAAATGAGAAAGACCTTCAACAAGAGGGATGGACACAGTGGCTGCACCAATGGGCTCAAACATGCAACAATTACAATGATGGTACAAGACCAGGCGGTGGTTCATTTTGTTGTACATGTGGTCACTATGAGACAGAGTCAACCTCAACAGTCCTAACAACAACAACATATCTGTCAGCAAATCTCAATGCACATATTCATCAAGATGGATGGCTCACCATCCTTTTCGTCAGACCATGATTCTATAGCCCTATGAGGAAAAAACAAAACAAAACCCTCCTGGTGTTCTCCTCTGAAAAGAAATGTGTGCATCAAAATTTCCACTTATTTAAACTAATTTTCTGTCACAAATTTATAAATTTTATATAAAATGAATACCAAGATCAGTTATCCCAGAAAATTTGGGGAAAATTATGAGGATAAACAAAATTAAAAGCTGAGTATCCAAGATGACCTGAGAGTCAAACATAGAATGCCTGACATGAGGGAATTTCTAGCTCCTTGAAATATTTAGAAAAGCATAACATCCAACAAAATTCTATATGAAAACTAACAGGCTAAAAGAGAGAGAAAACCTATTCTGTCAAAGTTGTGAATTTGAACATCAAAGGTCATAATCCCTGCCACGAGATTCAATCTGTAAATAACTATAATGGAGAAGCCTTGGTATGGTGCAATAGGATACGCTCAGTACTGCAAGGTTGGTTTGAACTACAAGGTCAGCAGTTCAAACTCACCAGTCATTCCTTGGAAATCCTATACTGGGTTGCTATGGATCAGAACTGACTCGATGACACCTAGCACCAACAATAACAACTATGATGGAAACTCTTGTTGTTGTTGTTGTTGTTAAGTGCCATTGAGTCAATTCTGACTCACAGCAACCCTGTATAGGGTTTCTAAGGAGTGACTGGTGGGGTTGAATCACTAACCTTTTGGCTACCAGTCCAGTGCTGAGCCTACAGCTCCACACCAGAAACCCTGCTTAATAATCTCTTCATTATATCTAAACAGTGAACTGGCAAAGATGAAATTGAATAAATGTACCAAAAGACTCAAACATTTAATTCACATTTGTAGATGTAAAATATGTGTATGCCTGATATCCTCTGAATTCACTACTAAACTAATATAAAATGTATCCAGCCAATGTAGACATTGGCTTGGTCCTTAGTATACTTTCTCATTCATCTTTTACTAAGTATATCACTATGGTGGTGGTGTTTATGTGCCATGGAGTCAGTTCCGACTTATATAACAAACTGTAAATAGAAGCGTTCTTCAGATAAAGAGTTGCAAAAACCAAAAAAGTAAGATAAATGTCATCTCTTGTCTGACATCCTGTGACCCTCTACTTAAGCCTTCCTCAGATTACCAAAGTCACAAAGCTAGTTAGTGACAGAGAAAAGACATAAACACAGGTGATCTTGCTAAAAATCAAGAGCTTGGATATTCTACTTCTAAGATTTGAAAAAGTATTCCAATTCCCTCAGGAAACCAAAGAACTTGGCTTCTGAATGGGCACTGATTTTGACCTTCCATCCAGTCCAATACTTACCCACATTATTATCTGAGTCATATATAATAATCATTTAATTTAATAATAATAATTTCAGAATCATTTAAATTTTTTAAATTTATTGTTGTGCTAAATTTAACATATAAGCTGAATGGTGATAAACAGGCATATCTTGTTTGATTGCATAAACCCCACCATTAAATTGTATTTACTCACTCCTGAGTATTCTCAAACGCTGTGCATCTCTAGGATCCAACAAGAAAAAATTTAAATTATTGAACAAGAAAACAGACTTCAAAGGCTTAAGAGGCTTTTGAGACTAATGTAAAACTACAGCAAACAGGTCTTCGGTAGAAAATGTGGGTGTGATATTCTGGGGCTTTCTGTGTTTTGCTTTTTACCCAATAAGTTTATTTTAAAATTTTTAATGAAATGTTGTCTCTGAAATAACAGTATGTTGAAAAAAAAAAAAAAGTGAATGTAAGAAACTCGTATAACTTCCAATTCTAATACTGCCAAATATAGAATATGCAAGATATTATCAAGAATAGGAAGTGACTATCTCCTAGTGGTGGAGTGACACAGGACCTTCTTTTTCCTCATCCTGCTGTTCCATGTCTTCCCAATTCTTTGTGATAAACACACATTCTCAAATGCTGCATTTCATTATGAAAAATTATAATATAATATATGAGAGAACAAATAAAAATAAAAGTATCCAAAATTCTCAAGTTTCAATAACTTTCAATGTGTTCACAAATCATTGCTCTACTCACTTGCTGGTGAACTTTCTGTTCAGTACATGTTTTACTGCCTCCTTCACATCTTTGTTTCTCAGACTGTATATTAAAGGGTTCATCATGGGAGTCATCACCCCATAGAACATAGAGATCAGTTTGTCTGTAACATTCAAGTCATTTGAATTAAGGATCTCTTTAGATTTGGGCTTCATGTACATGAAGAGAATAGTGCCATAGAATATTATCACTACTGTCAGGTGGGCTGAGCAGGTAGAGAAGGCTTTACTTCTACCCTCAGAGGGTATCTTTAGAATGCTGGAAATGATTAATGAATAAGAGATGAAAATCAAGAGCAGTGGCATCATTGTGAACAATGTTGTGGCCACAAGCATGATAAACTCATTGCCTGAGATGTCAGCACAAGCCAACTTCATGACAGCCAGAATTTCACAGGAAAAATGATTGATGATGTTGTTCCTGCAGAAGGGTAATTGTACCACAAGTACAGTTTGTACTACAGAGTTGATAACACCTGCAAACCAGGACCCAGCTGCCATGGGAACATAGGAATTCTTACTCATAATGATGGGATATCTCAGAGGGTTGCAGATGGCCACATAGCGGTCAAAGGCCATCATGCCCAAGAGCACACACTCTGTTGTCCCCATAGCCAAACCAAGGAACATCTGCAATGCACAGCCAGAGAAAGAAATGGTCTTTCTTTCTGAGAGGAAACTCACTAGCGTGGAGGGAACTGAAGTGGTGGTGTAGCAGATATCCAGGAAGGAGAGGTTCCCCAGGAAGAAGTACATGGGTGTGTGAAGGTGAGAGTCCAAGATGCTGATTAAAATAAGGGTGCCATTTCCCAGAAGAATAAACACATACATTATTAGGATAAGCACAAAAAAAAGCAGCTCAAGCCTTGGGTAACCAGAAAGACCCTTCAGAAAGAATTCCACCAAAATGGTTTGGTTTTCCCATTCCATTTTACTTTTTTCTTATACCTATAGGGAGACAGAGAAATTCAAAATAAAAATCCACATATACCAATTCACATATATAAAAATTTGTCATGAACCCAATGAGAGAAAAAAAGTGAGAAGATAAGGAAGGGAAGAAAATAAAGTATGAAGGAAGAAAAGGGAAAATAATTAAGAAATAATGCAGAAAGGGAAGGAAGAATGAGGGAAAGAACTATTGTATTGATCGTTTGTTCTGGATCATGTAATTTGCAAGTGTTTTTCCTATTCATTATGTCACTTGATCTTTCACAACACTATCATTTTAAAGGTAAGGAAGCTTAACTAACAGAGTTTAAGCCTAAAGATTTTTTTATGTATATAGCAAAGCCTGGAGTCCTGGTGTGGTGCAGTAAGATAGGCACTCAATCAAAAAATTGATTTGATCCCCAAAGTTCATGGTTCAAACTCTCCAGTAAGTCCTCAGAAAACCTTTACAGGATTGCTCTGAGTTGGAACTTACTTGATGCCATGTAGCAACAAAAATAAAGCCTACGCTTAAACTCAGGCCTGCAAACCTATAACTCGTACTTACCTTATATTTTTCTATACACTAAGAAAATACAGAATGCATTGTATCAGGGATTGTGAAATTGCATAAAAACTGCAACCTGACTCCCTCATCAGGCAGAGTCAACAATAAACATGAGTGTTGCTGAAATTAAAAGAAGTTTGCCAATATACAATATGAATAGACCTAGTAAATATGGTTCCGGATTGTCTGAAAACCATGTTGTTATTGCTATTTTTAAGTGCCAATGAGTCAATTCCAATTCATTGCAACCCTGTACACGGTTTCTGAGGAGTGGCTGGTGGATTTGAATTGCGGACTGGTTAGCAGTCCAATGCTTATCCTACAGTGCCACATCCTGTACACCAATGGAAATCCCAATAATCTGAAATATTTTTGGCAAAGTACCCTTTATTAGAGGAAAAACATTATTAACAATTTTAGCTTAAAATTTTATAGCTAAAATATCACACAGCAAAACTGACGTTAATTTTATTGAGTGTAATATTCTATAAGTTTTAAAATATGTTCATATTTGTTTAACACCCATCATAATCAGTATATATATTTCTTACATCATCTCAAAAAATTTCATGTGTTATTCTATTTTAATCAACTCTTCCACCCACGCAAAGACATGAGAACCACTGATAAATTTTTTCTACCGTAGTTTTATTTTTCCCAGAATGTCATGCAGATTGAATCATACAATAAAGTATTGATTATGGCTTCTTTCACTTAGAATTAAATTATTGCGATTCATCGAAATTATTTCTTTATATTTATTACTGTGTAGTATCTATTGCGTGGTTGTATATCCATTCACCTTCTGAAGGACATTACCAGTTTGGGGCGATCATAATTAAGCTACTACATATACAAATATACATTTGTGTATAGGTTTTTCTGTGAACATGATTTTTCATTTCCCTAGGGTAGTCCTGGTGTGGTGCTGTAGGATAAGCATTAGACAGCTAACTGCAAAATCAGCAGTTACAACCCACCAGTTCAAACCCACCAGACACATCTAGGAAACCCTATACAAAGTGGCTATGAGTCAGAACTTGACAGCACTAACAACAATATAACAAGAGTAAATAACTAGCAGTAAGATCATATATCTGCTGGGCACTGCTATGTACTGTTGCCAAATCAGTTCTGTAACTCTGCATAGGGTTTCTGAGCAGCGTCTGGTAGGTTTGAAGCCAGACTTTGCAGCTAGCAGTCCAGTCTAGCAGTAGGATAGTAAACTAACCACTCATCTGCCATTTTGGCATACTGTGGTGGCTTTTGTGTTGCTGTGAGGCTGGACGCTATGCCACCAGTGATTGAAATACTTGCAGGGTCAGCAAAGGTGAACAGGTTTCAGCTGAGTTTCCACACTAACTTTGCCAGACTAAGAAGTAGGAGAGACAGAACTGCTTCAGAATATTAGCCACAGAAAACTTAACAAATAGCAGTGGAACATTGTCAATTATAGAGTCAGAAAATGAACATTACCCATTAAAAGGTACTCAAAATAAGCCTGAAGATCTGCCTCCTCCAAATAGAGTTTACCATGATGACATAAATGGAGTAAAGTTTTAAGGACTTTCATTTGCTGATGGAACACAACTTAAATAAAGAGAAACAGTTGAAAATTTCATTAATAATCAGAAAAGAGAATGTAAATAATATGAATCTAAGAAAATTGTTGTTGTTGTTAGGTGCCATCTAGTTGGTACCGACTTAGAGCAACCTTATGCACAACAGAGTGAAACACTGCCCGATCCTCGGTCAACCTCACAATTGTTGCCATGCTTGAGCCCATTGATGATGCCACTTAGCAATCCATCTCACTGGGGGTCTTCCTCTTTTCCCTGACCCTCCACCTTACCAAACATGATAGCCTTCTCCAGCTACTGGTCCCTTCTGACAATATGTCTGAAGTATGAGAGACAAAATGTGGCCATTCTGGCCTCCAAGGAGCACTCTGGCTGCACTTCTTCCAACACAAATCTGTTGATTCTTTGGGAAGCCCATGACATTTTCAATATTCTCCTCCAACACCATAACTCAAATATGTCAATTCTTCAAGGTTCTTCCTTATTCACTGTGCAGCTTTCTCATGCAAATGAGATTATTGAAAATACCATGGGTCTGGTACACCTTAGTCCTCAAGCTGACATCTTTGTTCTTCAACACTTTAAAAAGGTCTTGTGCAGCAGATGTGTCTAATGCAATAC